GTTGGGTATTTTCGAGATAGGGTCTTAAGAACTATTTTCCTGGCAGGCTTTAAACCTCCATTTTCCTGATTTCTGCCTCCCAAGTAGCCAAGGGGTAAGGCAGAGGGAACTTCCTTACGGTGATTGAAACTGGCTTGTAAGGGAAATTTGGCTGTCATCTCACTAATCTTTGCCTAGGAAGTTCACACAAACAGCTTAATTTCAGCTTGGTGACATGGAATTTTAGCACAAGTGACTCCATTTTGGTTTTCAGTCTGGTCTGTTGGGGTTTTAATGCAGGAGCTGAGTCCAAAACAATGGCTGCCTATAATTTTTATTTAACATGCCTTTCCTTTCCATGTGGCTGTTCCCTAAGGAGATGACATCTGCCCTCTGCTGTCCTTGTAACGCTCTCTCTGGAGTGACCTCATCCAGAGCTGAGGCTGCAGCTGCCTCTGCACAGCTGGCCCTGTGCTGAGTCCCAGGCCTGCACGTAGTGTTTGAAGAAACCGGTGAGCACCTGGACCCAACAGGCTCAACTCCAAGTCCTTCACCTTCTGCTCCCAACCCATCTGTTTATCTTGCTGCAGGACACAGGCAACTCACACCACGCAGGGGATTGCCCTGCCTCCTTTCCCTTCCCCTCCTTCTGCTCCTTCAGAATGTGGGGAGGGCCCATGAAATCACAGCATAGGATTCAGGTGCTATTCTGAGTTCAGACATGACTCTGAGCACCCTGCATGTAGTGTTAGAGTACTTCTAAACTATGTAATCTCTGCTCCCCACCCCTTCGCATGTCTTTCCTCTTTTGCTATAAATCCAGAAGGGCAGCATCTGTTTCTTGTCTAACTAACATAGTATGTGCAGCTCATAGAAAGTGTTCAATAAATTCCAAATAAAAGCTGGAATGGAAGCCTTGTATTATCTCCTTCCACTTTTACAAACCGCGAGGTGGTTATTGCCAGCATAGAGTCTTACAATAAGGATCAGACACCAGGTGTTCACTTCCTTAACTACATGGACAAAACACTTTCAGAGGATTTAAAAAAAAAGGACTAGGAAGCTGAAAAGGATTATACCCTTGGTGCAGTAATGTCACTTCTAGGAGTCATTTTAAGTGAGTCATCAGAAGCAGGCAGGTGTCACTCACCAAGATGTACATGGTGTTACTCTTGAGTATTATGTTTCAGAGACAATGCTCACTCATGGTTTAGTGAAAACGCTGGCTGAAAACTAGTAAAAATACTGTGTTTTGTTTTTATTTTGGCGAGGTGGAGTTTGAACTCTGGGCTTTGCATTTGCAAAGCAAGTACTCCACAACTTGAGCCACACCTCCAGTTCATTTTGTTCTGGTTATTTTTGGAGATGGGGGGTCTCATGAACTATTTGCCGGGGCTGGTTCTCCTGATTTCAGTCTCCAAGTAGCTAGGATTATAGGCCCGAGTCACCAGCATTCAGCATACAGTCAAATCTTGAATTATATAAAGGAAAAAAAAAATCCTCATATGCAAAGAAAACACATTGGAAGAAATGTACTTAAATGAACTCTCCAGTGTTTATACCTTGGGTGACTTTTGTTTTGTTTTATATAATTTTTGGTATTTTCCAATAAGCATCTTTACTTCTATAATAAGAAGTGTGATTTTTCTCAAACTACAGTTTTTGGCTGTGTGAGACTATAGTAAACATCTTTTGATCTATTCGTGTAGCTAATTCCTCCTCCTGGTGAGAGGACCTCAATTTTTCTTATGGGACACGCCCTTCCCCATCATAGTCCACATAGCAGAGATGAAGTAGACCTTCAACCTCAGCTCTCTTGCGGTTGTCCTGTGACCCAGACCAAACCAATGATCACATTGCAATTCTCTGGTTTAGCAAGTGGTTCTGAATGAACTTGGGGCTTAAGCCAGGCCAGTGATACTCAGTTTTGATACTTTTCTGGGAGACGTTTAGGGGGCAGAAAAGCTCTGCTGTCATTGATACTAAAAAGCTGTAAGCCTAGAGCTGCCTGAATGCATACCAAGACCAGCAGAGGAACACAGGAAAATACTGGTGACGGATGGAGATGGAGAAAAGCCTCCTCCCCCCACCCCCACCCTTCAAATCCTGGGACTTTAAATCCTTGGATGCAGCAAAGTCTGAAACACTAGCATCCCATTTACAAGTGCCAATAAATTCTAGGTTTCTTTGTTTGCTTGCCTAAGTCAAATTTGAGCTGTGTTTCAACAAAGTTGCAGTCAAGAGTCCTCACTAAAACAATTGTAGAAACAATTAAATATATCAAGTGCAGCTTATGACACAGTCCAGGGCTATCTCAAAACACATTATAGAATGGATCCATATATCCTACCTGAGATATAAAACATTTCCATCATTGCATAAGTCCTTTTGGACAGTTCATTCCCATAGGACTTCACTCATAACACCTTATTTATACATGCCTTCTTTCAGTACAAACCAGTCAGGGGGTATTATTAAAAATAGCTAACAACCCTAAAAGCACAGGCTGGAGGCTCTCTGCTGCGCTCAGCATTAAGCCTGATATTGCTGAATCATATATGAGAGATGAGGTATGAGATATGAGGTGTCTCAAGAGTGGGTTGGAGTGGGGGGTACGTAGGTGTGGAGAATGGCTTTTTAAAAAATCAGTACAGGATTTCAATATTCTTCGGCTGATATGGCCCAGTTGGGGATGCACTGGCTGACCATGGGCTCTGTTAGCAGAAACTGAAGTTTCTTATTTGGCTGTGAGTTTTCTTTGTTGAACCGGAAATCACCACCCCCCCACCTCAGGAAGAGATTTTGTTTTACTCATTTTTGGAGGACTTGGTGCCTACCTGGGTGCTCAATGACAAAAAGAAACGACAGGTCAGCATTGTATAAATTCTTATTCAGTTTTTTTTTTTTTTTCCTGATAGAAGTTTCTTGACTGGAATTAAATTGCAGTATGGTCCTTTTTCACCCATTCTTCTGAAGATGTTATCCTCTTCATCAGTTGATTGAATTAAAAAAATTGTTAATATTCTGTCTTGGTATAAGGTTGGTATTTTAACTCATAGTGATCTTTTTTTCTCATTACAAGATGGATTTTAAAAATGAATCACGATTCCAGGAACTTACATGATGGCTTTGAGTGGTAATTTTTACCTTTATCTCTGTCATCTGAAGACAAAAAGTGATCTGAAGAGTCCTACACAACTGTATGACTTGAACCATTTGCTAGGACATTGGGCTGTGGGTTCCCACACCTGTCTGTAAGGACTGGGAGGGCAGGGCCTACAACTGCTAACAAGAGTGTCTGGTTTTTCCCTGCTGCAAGGAGACACTTAAAAATGGGTTTGAGCCGGCCGCCAGTGGCTCATGCCTGTAATCCTAGCTACTCGGAAGGCAGCCTGGGCAAATAGTTTCATGATACCCTATCTTGAAAAGCCCTTCACAAAAATAGGGCTGGTGAAGTGGCTCAAGGTGAAGGCCCTGAGTGCAAGCCCCAGTTTAAAAAAAAAAAAACATTTTGAATAACTAAAATGAACAAACTTAGTGACAATCACACACACTGACCATTTGATCATCCTCTAGCACTAGTAAGTTTTTAAGTCATTCGCTTTAAAAATGACTTCTTAAATCAGCCCAGGTCCTGTCCACGACCAGCAGAACAGCTTTCAATATTAAATGGAGCAGGAGAGCTGGAAATTATAACACTTGACACTTGGAAAAGTAGTGTATCAAAAATATTCCATTTTTACCCCTGAAGGGCATCTCTCTTTTATTTTCCATTCTTAAGCTCTCGGGAGAGGTGTTTTATTGGCGTATCAGAATGTATCAGGGAAAGCTCCCTGTACCCACAGTAGGTCTTAAAATGGGGGCTCAAACCTTGGATCTGCCCACCATTAGTTATGTGATCATTTAGAGGGAAAATTATAAACATATCTGCTCTATTTTATTGGAACATGAAATAGTAAAGTAGGGAAGACTATAAAACGTTATACAGATACTGTTGTTACAGTCCATGCCAGGATAGCTACCATAAGTAGTGGAACCTGGCTAGAGAATCGTTTTACTGGTGGAGTGGCTCAAGTGGTAGAGCCATTGCCTAGCAAGCGTGAGGCCCCGAGTTCAAACCCCAGTACCGCAAAACTGTTGTCTGTTTCATAGGCAAAGAAACCGGCCAAAAAATGGTCAAAAACCAAACCAAACCAACCAAGAAAGAGAAAGGTGCCTAGAAGAAAATGGGCTCAAATACCAAGTCTCGCTTTCCCATTCTACCGCCTCGGTCTCCAGAAAAAGTCTCAGCAGGAGCTTGTTGGGCGGAGGCTACGCCGACCAATAGAAATCAGCTGTGTTCTTACAGGTTAACTGAGCAGATGGAGAAACTGAACATAAAGAATTATCCAAACCCGGCTCAGCCTCTCGCCACGGTGCCAGGCGCCAAGCTTGGTCTCCCTCGACTAACAGGTCTGGGGAATGTAGGAGCCTCATTTCCAAAACCTCGTCCACCCCCCCATTCCTAAATCTGTACCACCTTCACACCCAGTGGCGTCCAGCTTTCTCCCTCCCGAGAGTGCTGGATGGGCGGGTGGCCAACCTGTATTGTCTGGGGCGCACCTGACAAGTGGCGGGCCCGTGCCCTAATGCGCGCGTGGCTCCGGGCTTCACAAAGCGCGCGAGCAGCACCGCCCTGGACTGGGAGCTGCTGGGGACCGGCGGACCACATCATAGGGAGGAGAGGTGGAGGGAGGAAGGGGCTCTGGGGTCCCTCCCCTTCCTTGCAGGCACAGCCCCCGGGATTACCACACCGAAAGAGCAGGGGCAGACGCCGCCGGAGGGAGCGAGACCCAGGCGGGGAAAGAGGGAGGGAGTGAGATAGGGAGGGAAGGAGGGAGACAGGGAGGGAGGGGCGGCGGGGAGGGGCGTGGCTGGAGCGCGGGGGGAGGGCGCGGGAGGAGGGGCTGCGATCGGCGCTCGCTTCTCTGGGGGCTTGGCTTTGCCGCGCTCGGTGCACTTGGGCGAGAGCTGGAGCGTGCAACGGAGCTCCGATCCCCGCGCAGCCACCGCGATGAGAGGCGCTTGCGGCGCCTGGGATTTTCTCCGCGTCCTGCTCCTACTGCTCCGCGTCGAGACAGGTGGGAGAGCGCAGCCCGTACCGGGCCGCGCCCCCCTTCCCGGGCGCAGTCGGTGCCCCAGGAGGGGTTAAACACTTGGGGTGCATCCAGAAAAGGTGGCTACCGGCCTTCCAGCACCCGTGCGTTCCAGCCTCCGGGAGGACTCAAGGCGACCCCGGGACTCCCCTGCGCCCTGCCTCTCACCTGCGCGCAGAGCCTCCCTGCCGCTAGTGGTGGTGGGGAAGGGGACGTTGAGCCGGGGGTCTTCCGGGGACGGGCAGCGAGGGGGCTTCGTCGTGAGCTAGGCTGCAGGCTGCCGGCGAGTTTGGGGTCGCTTTTGTGGCGCCGGTGCGCGTTGGCAGTGGCGGGTGGCTCCAGGGTTCGCACGGAGCGCGTTATCTCGCCGTGCGAAGCGAGGCCGCTGCTTTCTTTTGTTAAAAGTTGCGTGTGTGTGACCAGCGCACCGGGGGACCGGCCCGCGGGTCTTCAGATGCGCCCTGGGCAAAGTTGGAGAGCCTTTTCTTTGCGGTTGCTGCTTCCCAACCGCGGGCGCTCTTTGTGCGCAGAGCTGGTGACCGACTTGCTGCTTCCCCTGATCACGCGCGGCGCCACCCGTGGAGACGGAGTCCAAGGCTCCGGCGCGTCCCAGCGCCCGTTTAGGCTTTTGCACGCGAAGCGCGCGAGGCTTGAGGTGGCCGCCACGGGGACAACTTGGGCAGGGCGTGTGGCAAACAGCCGCTAGGTTGCAGACTTTGTCTTTTGTGAATCCCATGCTGAAGGCTCGCCCCTTTCTGCAGTCCTTGCTGCTGCCACGCGCCGGGGAGCGGCTGGAGGCTGCGTTGGCCGCCAGCTCCCGGGAGGCGGGGACCGCGCGCTGGGACGCCGCGGCCCCAGACCCCTGCTGCGTCGCGCACCCAGCCAGAGTGCGCCGCTGGCCGGATCCGGCGTCCCTGTGTCTGCGACCTGTAATCGCAGGTGCCGGCTTTCTTCGGGAATTGAGATTCGCTACATCCCCCCCCCCCCGCCAACACACACGTGACAGCTACACTCGGGGCTGCCCGAGGTGGGGTGGAAGAGGCACTGGAGTTCTGCAGGTCTTGCTGGGTTCTTCAGCTGTAAGGGAACTCCTGTTACCCTCATGGGAACTTGGTCTTGGGGTGTAAGGGAATCTGCAGGCTCCTGGCCCTGCTGTTCTGCCTCCCTTCCTTTTTTTGCCAGGTGTCGCTGGTGCGCGGTCGTGTGCGGGCCCTCCTAGCTAGTCCCCGAGCCCTGTTCTCTCCTTGGTCATTTTTAAACAAAAACGCTTTTGGACTAGAAAGTGAGGTTCCTCTAGAATGAAGCACCTGAAGGCGAGCCTTGCAGTGGCCTATTGTGAGGTGACTACTGGCGGGTGTCCTCATAAGTCTCCAGACCCAGGCACCCGCATCCCCCCCCCCAAGGCGCGGGGAGGGGCGGCCTTTCCTGTGGGGTACTTGCATCTGGACCCCTGCGCCGGGGGAGGAGTCACCAGTGAGTGACCGGAATCCTCTGCGGATTCGATCGCTGAGTTTAAAATGATCCCTATGGTCTTTATGTCTTGTCTTTTTTAATTTCATTAAAGGTATGTGAACTAGACCCGAGTGGGACACCAGAAAAATCCCACAGAGTAGTTCCCTTTTAAAAAATGAAAGGAACCAGTGGTTTCCTTCCTCGTGAATAGCCTGCTCCATCCCATCCAGCTTTTTGGCAACAGGAAAATTTAATAAGGTCTGTCTCCTGGGGGGTGGGGGGCAATGTGGTGTGTGGTGTACCGACAGAGCCTTGCTTCTCCACCCCCCTCCCCGCCGCCAGTTCCTGTGTCCTTTTCTCAGGCATTTACAGGCTCTGTGTCCTTGAGCAGGTCATATAAATTGGTGGTGGCAGGGAGGGGTGGGGGGAAGTTCCAGTTTTCAGTCTGCAAGGCACCTGCATCATAAGGATCTTTAGGTCCAGAATGCGTCTGTGTTTAGCAGGCTTTGCTTTTCTTTGCTAGGTCCCTGGTCTTGTCCTGCCTCTCCTGGTCACAGGAACCTCTCAGGGTACAGGGTTGTGCTCTGCCCCTGGCCTGGCAGGGAGCCATGGTTTCTGTTGTCCTCCCCTCAAATCCCAGAAACTGTCCTAGAAAGTGCTGGCTCTGTAGGTACCCTTCTATCCCCTTGGCCCTTTACAGCCCTGGTGGCCAATAGGATAAACCTGCAGGAACAGTGAGTGAATCACATCTGCAGGTGCAGGCTCCAGTCATCCCTAGCACCTGGGACAAGGCATGCTGGACTATTATCCTATTGGAATTAAAGTGATTGCTTTATAAAGGGACCCCAGATAATTCACAACTCCCTGTTGTGGTCTTTCCCACCCACTCACCCACAAGTTTCTTGGTGATGACTTTGTAAGTGATGTATGGTGTGCTCACACAACATGCTTTCTCAGATTTCATGTTACTCCTGTGTGTGCTTGCTGGTTTGTCATTGCAGATTGTGGGGCAGGCCCTTGCTTTGCTTGCTGTGTGGCCCATGCCCTGTGCCATCACTGCCCCTACGATCTTGCAACTGGAGAAACTGGCTGAGGGAAAGTAGCTTGCCCCAAATGATCAGTAGAGGAGCCGAGTTCCGTGCCATATGCCCAACTGCATATCTATTTACAGAGCTCACCAGAATCTGTTGCTTGTAAGACTCATGCAAAAATATTTAATGAGTGTTACTATGAGCCCTGCACTGTTGGAGGTTTTGGAGAGATAGGATGGCCAATTTTGGTGAGAGGCCTAGGGATTACCTGTCACTTTTTACTTTTTTTTTTTTTTTTTGGTGGTACTGCGGTTTGAACTCAAGGTCTCATGCTTGCTTGCTTGAGCCACTCCACCAGCCCTTTTTTGTGATGGGTTATTTTGAGATAGGGTGTCATGAACTATTTGCTCACAGCTGGCATCAAACAATGATCCTCCTGAGTAGCTAGGATTCCTTACCTGTCATTTTGAGGGGCTATTCTGTGGGAGAGGGGGGCATTTGTCTCTGTGGTATGAGGGATTTAGGTCTTGACTGGGACCCTCAGAAAGGAAGATAACCTGTCCAAAATGATGGAAATCAGTTGAAAGCTGTCACCCCCTCCCCCAATAAAAATGGTCTTACCCTTAGACACTCGTGCATACTTGTGAGAGAGCCCCCAGGTGGGGCATGGCTCACAAGGAGGCCCTGAGTTCAATGTCCAGAACTGAAAATAAAAGAGCCCCCCCTCCATAATGGCTGTTTATCCTGGATAAGGACAGTAAGCTATGGGGACGGTTTACTGCTCCAGCCTTTCTTCTCCTAGAAGAAATTCTCACCAGGAATGTACCAAGTGTTCTGTGGGCTTCCCTTGTAACACTTGTGTACAGATGTTATGATGATGAATTTTGCTGCTGTTGTTGACAGCAGGGTAGAAGTTACCAGTAGGATTTTGACTCATTTCCTCAAGTCTCCTCCAGCAGATTAAAAAAGGACAGGAGGAAATGAGCCAAGTGAGCCGTGGTGTCCTGTGTCCTGCGAGGACTTCTCGGAGCGGGAGCCCTTAGAAGTGGTGGACAGGGCTGTGGTGGCTGTTCTCCAGAATGGATTTAGTTTCAGAGTTGGCAGGCGAGGAGGTGGGAAGTGCTGTATTTTGCTGCATTCGTGTGTGGTAACTTTTCCAAAGTGGGATTAAAAGACATTTGTAGGAATCGAAATATGCAAAATTTCATATGCATCTTCAAAAACTCGAATAGAGATTTTCATGGCTGCAAATCCAGAGTGAGGAGGGCTTGGAAGGGAGTCAGCCGAGGTAAAAGTTTGAATTGGAGGGCAAAGCCAGTGCCAATGGATCTTTGTGGGAAAGTAGTGAGGACTTGTGAGTCAGGCTGGCCTGTAGCTGTGATTGCTGACATTTTGGATGTGATCCTATAGCTCATCCTCTGACTTAAGACTCTAATCAGTGAGGAGTTGTTTTAAGCCCGTGGGCATGTTTGTTGAGTTCATGGGATTTTTTTTTTAGAAAACATCCAGGCACTATTTTAAAAATCTGGAACTTTTTTTTTTTTTTAAATCAAGATCTTCATTTTCCTCCTCTTGAAGAATTGAAAGTTGTGTGTAGTGGTACACCTGTAATCTCAGCACTTGGGAAACTGAGGCAGGAGGATTTTGTATTCAAAACAGTATAGGCTACATAGAAGCTGTCTCCAAAAAAAAAAAAAAAACCCACACACACACAACAAAAAAATTGAAGACTGGCCCCTTAAGATGGGACCTGGGCTCTTCGGGTTGTTTTGGTCCTCAGAAGGTGGGACCTGGCAGGTGCCCATAGTGGAAGGGGTGTCTGGCAGGCTACGTTGCTGTAGATTGCCACTTCTTGGTTATGTGAGTTTGGAAAAATTACTTAACCTCTCTCTGCCAGCAAATGTATTGCTACATATAAATACTTTTAGAATGGTGTCTCTCTGTACATGCTCAATTTATAATGTTTCTAACATAGTGCCTTCTCTTAATATGGTTGCCCTAAAGAAGAGGAGTTTTGCAAAGCTGCTTGATGTAGGATGGAACTGGAGAGGCACCTTAAATAAGTGAATTTGCTCAGGAGGTAGAATTTGCCTATTTCTCTTCATAAACCTTGTGCATGTGTACCAAAAAGTACTAACCACACAGCCTTTAAAATGAAATGCCTTTAGTTTTTGTCTTGTTTAATGTAATTTTGATAAAATTGTTGAGTTTTATACAGTTTTGATTCAGCATTTGGGTACCACTGGTCTTTGAGAGTTAGCAGATACTGGCTATATATTTTTTAAATTCCCAGAACCTCGCCATATATTTTTTAAATTCCCAGAACCTCGCCCCTTTGTCGTAAGTCTTAGCCTCCATGCTTACATTTTGGTGGTGACACTCTTTTCCACCGTTTTGCAAAATGTAAGGTTCAGACTGAGTTTCTATTCAGAGCATATAGTACCAGAATTAAGAACATGGTTTCTGGAATTGACAACCGGGTTTTTTTTTTTATTATTATTT